GTGGCCGGCAATTAATCGTTTTTTGGTTTGTGTATTTCAGTCGTGTTACATGACATTATTGAGCGTTCCTGAACTGATGGTTCACTCGTGCTGTGCTCGGTCCTCCTGTGTGACGTGGGCGCTGTTGTGTCGATCTCTCCGAAGGACTGTGCAAATAAAGAATTTGCAGGATTTGCAAGTTCCATCGAATTTCTTCCGACTTTTGGTCGTTCGCCTGCTGCCTTTAGCCGTATTTCTGTTGGCAACCTAGCTCGAAACTTTAACCAGCTATCCAACAGAACTTGCGTCATTCCCTCAGAGTGTAGTATTACCTTCATTAGCCTAGGACCGCAGCCCTTGTAGTTAGGTGACAACGGAACTCTTGTTAGGGATTTGGCAATAACATTGTTAACACAGAGTGCTTCGCGGATGTAGCACCACTGTTCTCGGTCATGTGTATGTGCATCGTGATCAAAAGCATGCAGGAGCTCGGGAACACCATGAACAAATATTGTTTTCTTGCTATCCCTAGTAGCAATACCGCGTTGCTCCACTGCTTCTTTTGTGCGGTCTTTCCAAGGTAGATCAGGTAATATGCGCACTCCGCTCGGTGAGTTGCGAAGACGAACTGCTGAGAGCAGGACAGCCTCTGTCTCATCTGCTGAGTTTAGAGTTACTCGAAGAATTCGAGGTTCACCAGAGTGCACTGAGGTCGGGTGACGTGCTACGCGTTGCAGCATTGCAGGCTCAACCCGAATACCAATCGCCTCGCAGATGGAACTCCACTGGTTGCGATCGTCTTGCAACTTGCCTTTTATTGTGCCAGATTTGGATTCGGGAACATTGGTGCACACGAGAGTTAGCGCAGCGTGGTTTTGTCTAGCAAGTGTTGGCTTTATACTTTTTGCCGGCAATTCAGGTTGTTTAGAGGGCACCACTGGACTTGACAGTGAAAGCTGCTTTGGGCCACGCGTGCTCGGTACTGAAGATGAACTTGTGTGTGTCGCTCCCGGTGTGTTTGTCGATGCAATCGATGCGTACGTTACCTGCTTGTTATCTGCACCGGATTTCCTTCGGCTGTGAGCTATCGGTGTCATGGCTGAATCTCCAAGTGAAGCGTCTATGGTTGGAGAAGTGGACGCAGGCATGTTTGAGGCTTGCCCACTGATGGGAGTGAGGTGACCCAGTGGGTTTAGAGTCACAGAGGCTGCAGTGCGGTTGGATCGTCTAGCTCTTTTCTTCGGTTTAGACGCAGAACTAACTTTGACCGGGTGAGGTATTATCGTGGCCATATTTACCTCCGAGGGAGCGACCTTAGTATTTACAAATTGTGCGATTATTTCAGTCATCCTATCGCATTTTTTCATTAGCAATGATAAACAGTTGACAACTGGAATCACTTGACATGATGGGCAAAACCAAATTGTGTCAGCAACTTGGTTTGTCTGTCTCACTTCTTGGACAGATTTGCCTGCACATTGCGGGCAGTACGATTTAATGCAGCTGGAACAGGTGATACTGATCTTAAGGACTTTACTGCAGTTGTCTGCACAACATAGGCGACGCTGAACCATAGGAATGCTAGTTGTCCTCTTGTTTACAACAAAGCCTTGGTGAGTGTATTTTGCGCTAGGGGTGACGCACGAATAGGTCAGAACACGCACACGAACTGAGAGTTGTTCGACCGCACCAAGGTCAGGCGTAGGGGCAGATGGGGGTCGTAACGCGCAGACTGTCGGATTCAGCGATCAATAGACTTGCAGTGGTACACACACAAACAAAGCGGCAGCGTGTGTTAATCGGCCTGCCTTAAGCGACGATGCAGGTGGAGCGCTGATAAGCTTCCTGAGAGCTGCTCAGTTGATGAGCGGAGCAAAAAGGCTCTAACTTTGTTATGCCGCAACTTGCAGGGATGGTTGCCGCGTAGTTTGGGAGCCCTCAGCTTCTTCTTCCGAATGAGACCAAAATCTTTTCCGAAAGACCGGTCTGATGTAGTTACACAAGTGAAATTCGGCAAAGAATATGCCGAAAACTGGGAACTGGAGAAAGAGTATAATCCACACCGGTTAGATCCAAGAGTTGGGAAGCACTGAGTAGAGCTCGTCGAACTGGTTCGAACGAGCGCACGCACAATATTTTGTGAGGAGAATTGGAGTGGCCACAAAGGGCAAAGCGAGAGACGAGTTACAGTGCGGCCGCACGGTAGGGTGATAGACGGCTTTTTCATTTCGCGTGTGTCCTTACTGCAGACATGAGAGAAAACCAAACGGAAGTTTCACGATAACAAAAATACAAATGGCTCTGAGCGTGGTTGCTAACTGTTAATAGTGAGAAAGTGAAACCAGAAAATTGGACGAATCAGTGAGGAACAGAGGGAACGCACCGCAGTTGACTAACAAAATCCACGCCTTCGTGTAAGTTGTGCACGTCTGTCACCAATGCCCTTTGTCTCCCGACGGCTCAGCGTCAGGTCAGTTGCAAAGTTGATTTCGTGTCACGACTGGCCACGCACACGGTGCGCTCGGGTCACGTGTTCTCGGATCACGTCGGCGAGATGCGTCAACCAGGCGGTGTTTGTCACCGTCAGCTTTTTCGCAATGCGTCAACGGTCACACTGTAGGCAGTAGATTTTTTTCGATATCTAGCTTGTATGAAAGTCAATCGAGATGGCTAAGGGCTTTTCCGATGGCACTCGAATTTGTCTTGCAGTTCAGACCAGAAATAGTCTTGTCGAGTTTAGAATAGACGGAAGGCATTAAAAGTGCCAATTGACGAAAGATGGTAATCCGTAGAGGAGCAGTTTGTCACAGTTTTTGCAGAAACCGACAGGAATATATCCAAAAAGGGCAACAATAGATTCCTCACACGAAATCTAATGAAATGATGTATGAAACTCCAAATTACGGCGAGTTTGCACGAAGAAATCAAGTAAATTGTCAGAGCTCACTGTAACGCTCACCTGCTTACGAACAAATCCTGTTAGGTTCTGGTGTAGAGGTTCTTTCCGGCAACCACGTGACCGATTTAGACTATCCTCATGATATTGCCTTACATGGTAATGACGCACAGAGCACACAAGCCATTCTAAACCGCTTGGCGATTGGAGCATCAAAATATGGCATAACCTTTGCCCCTACGAAATGCAGACTCCCAGTCCTCGATTGGCATACAACTGCTTCAGTGCGCACTCTTCAAGGTACGCAGCTTGAACAAGTGGACAACTTTGTTTACCTGGGAAGCTATGCCTCTGCTGATGGTAGCATTGAAAAAGATATTTACCTCCGCATTACCATAGCCCGTTCGTCATTCATCAATTTGAGGCACCTCGCTGGCTATGTCTAGCGTATAGACTGCTGATTATAACTATAAATATATACAGGGTGTTTGGTTTCTCTAACCATAGCTAGGAGCAGCTGCACCCAAGTGATGACGTACACCGGTACGCCGAATTGCTAACTCTTCAGTGGCGCATATTGCTTAGCCGGCAGGGGTGAGATGGGAAACAGACGCCACATGTGTGTCTACGATCGTAGAGCACACCGAGCCGCTCGGCTGTGAGAAGTGAACGTTGGTCAGACACCACTACCGCAGTGAATACATCATGCATCGACCGCATCGCAAGACCTAGGAAACGCACGCCGTTCAGCTGTGAGAACTGGAAGTGGGCCGGACACTACATAACCGCACGGCACGTGTCTTGCTTCGATCGATCGGTAGTCGGCCTGCAGGTGAAAAGCCAGCAAAAGTGTTCTCTGCGAAGTGTGTTGCTGTGTTAACAACTGAGAAAAACAGCCTGGCCGTATGTGATGACTGGTCAATGGGCGCCGTATTGCTATCGTCACAAAGCTGTTATCACCTCATGACTGGATCCCAACAAACCCGTAAGCTTTAATTAGTCTGCTTTCGCTGCTAAAGGGAATCATACTGCCAAGAACACATTGTAAAATTACAGCGTTGTTCGCCTTACCGTTTCGAACGCATGTGTGTTGCAACTGAAAATTCACTCTCCTTGTGTTCATAAAAACGAATTCTTGACCTAAATTTGACGTGACAATGCGCTTAGATTTCAGTCTGCCCCGACGCAATGATGGCACGATGAGGCAACATGACAATGTAGTCATGGATACAACTATTGTCCTCACAGTCAGACAATTGCTAGTTATACAAATTGATCGGGCCTTCGATGGTGTTTCCCATGTAAAATCGAGAACATACATTTATTCATTTCTTTACTTATATTTACATGGAATTTGGGAAATGTCTGTAAATATCAACGAATTAGATTTTCGAAGTGTTCCCCCGCTTTTTTGGCTGCAGAGGAGCATTCGCCGGATGGTGTTGGCGAGCACTTTCTGTAATGTTTCGAACGAAATCTGCCTACATTCGTCCGCAATGTTTTCTTTCAGTTCATCCAGGTTTTTTGTGTTTCGTTCTATAATGCGCTTCAAGTATCCCCATAGGAAAAAGTCCATGGGATTCCGATCCAGTGATCGCGCAGGCCATTCTATCAGTCCTCCGCGACCAATCCAACGTCCACCGAATGCCTCTTTCAGGTAGGTACAAATCGATTGCGCGAATGGGCAGGTGCGCCATCCAGTTACCATAGTTCCTCATCTTCCTACCTCCAGAACGTTTGCAATCATTCTAGTTGACGCCATTTAGGAAGCAGTACGCACTGGAGTATATTTGAATGCTAGGTAGTTATACCATTTGTTCAACTGTGCCACGCTTAGCTCGCAGATCTAACCATAGCCTCTTTTGCGCTCTCTGTCGCAATAACCCTCGGAGAACGCGCCTTCTGACGCTGCGCTCGATGGTTGCATGTTCTCAGCTGTACCGTATATTCCAACTCTGAAACAAACACTTCCCTTCATTTTTTATTTCAGAGGATCTATTTTAACCGCTGCTTGGATCACTGTGAACAATAAAACAATCACTACGACTATTTTTCTAATGGATACGCTTAGCCTACAACCCCTATGAGTTGCTGACATTAACCAGTAGTCACAACAAAGTGACAAATGAAAATAATGCCTTTATTCGGTGAAATCCCATTCTGGGAAATTAAGCTGATGAAAAATAAAATAACAACATAATCACTGCACAGTGGTCGATGGTTGCATTTGGGCAGTGCTCCAAACATGAGATGTGATCATCCGCTGGGTGTTTGATGTGCATCGGATGAAACTTGTTGCTTCTGATCGATCATTATATGGATTATGCGGCACCCGTTAGTGAAGGTCACAATTAATCGTCTTTTCTCCTGTGCATCAAGACACGAGTCCGCACTGTAGACTCCAGAGTTCAAACTGGAAACTGTGGCGATTGGCTGAAAACAGGAGACACAAGATAAAAATAAGAGCAATGTGGAAGTATTGCTCTACGGTAAGAGTGAGTGGACCTGAACAGATGGCCTTGCGAATTTGAGGAAATGGAAATGGAATTAGAAAAGTGGAGTGCGTAGGTACCTACAGAGTTCTCGTTTATGAGTACTCGAAATTCTGATGAACACTATGAACCTAGCTGAGGTAATAAGTGCTGAATCGCAAACAGCTGAAATGAATATGCCAACTAAGTTATCTGCACATATCGTGACCCCTAAAGTGGAAAATGCATCGTTCATGCGATTCACAAATTCTAGTTCTTCTAATCATTGTTATCTCGTCAGAGAAATCGGAATTACTTATGAATGATCTCTCGCTAAGATCGACGGAAGATGCGGGTTAGTTTCGGGCGAAATTGGTAGGTATTGCGAACCAATCCCTGTGTACGCCGATAAGCTAGAGGTGCTGTATGTAAACTGAACACTATACGGGGATCAGCGAGTTGAAACAAATAAAGTACTTAATGTTCCTGTAGCCGGCTAAAGGTTCGGGCATTGTAGTAATGAACAGGTTTGACTACATTTCAAAGATGGAGTCCATTCTGGGAGACATGTAGAAGTTCCAGCTAGATAATACAAAGGAAAACAACATCCAGATCCTCCTGCTACATAGTTACATCAATGAGTCGCAGTACAGGCACTTAGAGCCGACGGGGACGCAGACACCCAGAATGAGAGGCGTTCCTAAGTTACACAAAGCAGGATACTCGCTACGCCCGATTATGTGCATGAACAATTTGTCTTATCACAATGTCGCGCGGTGGCTGGCGAAACTATTAAATCCGGTTCGTAAACTCCTCGCTACATATTGCCTGAAAGACCCTTTGAACTGAGCGAGATGCTGGAACAAGTGTCACTGGGTGCAGAGCTCATGTACTCAATAGGTGTGGACTCCTTATTCACAAACATGTCTTTACGTGAGACGGTGAATAATTTATGTGATTTTATCTTGAGCCAAAATATGTCTGTGGGCTTGCCAGTGGAGTATTTAAAGGCTTTGATTCTATTGTGCACCAAGAACATGCGGTTTGAGTTTGAGGGGACCGCAAACAAACAGGTCAATGGGGTCGCTATGGACAGCTCTCTAGGACCAGCTTTAGCCCACATCTTTCTCGGCTTGATAGAAAAGAAAGTTGTTGCCATAATTGGTGAATCGAAATTGTACGGACGGTATATAGATGACAGTTTAGTCTTCACCAGCGGAGAACATTTTACCCGGCGGATGACCACCCTGAATTCTATTCACCCTAATCCATTGGTATCCCATGAAGTAGAACAACGCAGTTGCCTGGCCTTTTTGGATATACTCATTAGAAGACGGGCTGAAGGTACATTGCATCACAGTGTTCACCGTGACCGACTTAGAGTGGACAGTACCTTTATTTTTCAAGATTCGTCCCGATTGCATACAAACACTGCTTAGTGAAAACTCTCTTTTACCGGGCAAGATATATCTGCAGCCTCGAAACCATAAAACCGAAGAAGAAATTCCGCGCAAGACGTTAATTTCTAATGTGTATCCTGAGAAATTTATTCAAGTACACAGTAGACCTCCCAGCATGAAAACACCGGTGCCGACGGCTGAGTAAAAGGATGTTTATTTGTTCTTACCATTCAAAGGGGACTAAATGGCAAAGGATACCGGACACAAGCTCCGGTCCTTCCTAACGCTCACCTACACGACAGCCCAGTTGCGGCTCAGGCATACCATGCGACGACTTGTTCTTCATAACCGTCAGAGCATCTCGACCTCTCACTTAGTTAATCAGTTCACCTGTGGTTAGGGTGACATTTACATAGGCAGAGCAAACCGTCAGTTAGCTCAGAGGATAGCTTTACATTTGCCAAAGTGGTTGGGGCAAGTGTTTACGCAACCAAATGGGACGGATCTGGAAATTAATCAGAGCCCAGCATTGTCCATGACCAAACCCCTTGTGGCAACCAGTTGTCATGTGAACCCTGAGAGAGTGTTCAAAGTGTTATTACACCACAAAAAAAACGATAATTTTGGCCATTAGTGAGGTGTTGTTAATTAAGTCCCATGAACTTGTGCTATGTGCACAAAAACTCTTGAGGCCATCAATTCGGTTGCCTTGGTCTTGACTGTGAAAGGTTTAGGCCAGTTACGCTACGAAGACAGGCTGAGACCGCTCAGGATATTTAGTGGTCAATATCGAAGACTACGGGGAGATTTGATTTTGGCTTATCAGATTCTGACAGACCCCAATCATACCTGCCGCCATCTGCTGGAGCTCAGTAACAACAACAACCTGAGAGGCCATCATCTGAAGCTGGCAGTGCAGTACAGCCGTTTGGAATGTCGACGGAATTTCTTTTCCGTGCGTGTTTGCCAAGCCTGGAATGCTCTCCCGGAATCTGTAGTCAGTGCACCCAACCTGATCGAGTTCAAAAATCGAGTTGATAATGCCCTCACTTCATTGCACTATCTCCCATAGTACAGTCTAGTTTTGAGAGATCCAAAATCGATACTTTAAAAATAATTTTCCCCCACGCTTATTTCAACAGTGGATGTATATTTGGACGCTTCAAACTCAAACACTTTGCGCCATGCGAATTTCAAGGGGCAGTGACTCTTTTAACCAAATACTCCATGCCTCATGATTCCCTCCGAGTTATAGTGGATTATTATTTTGACACTTCAAACTCGGTGAGTCCACAAGCTTGTAGTGACTCGTTGTTAAACGATTTTACTGAATTGGTTTCCATTGAATTTTCCACACTTCTATGATTTTCGCACTGATCACCCTACGGGATTTGTCAAGCTTTAGCTTTTATACCCGCATAAATCCATTGTTCCATTATATTGAGTGCTGTTTTTTCCATGTATATCATTGTTTGTGTGGTTCGGATCTTATTGTGTTTGCGACTGAAGAGAACAATCAAAATGTTGGCAAATTGCAACCTCTGTCTTCTCTCTGCCTTGACGAAATGGTTGAAAGGGGTGCAATGTTTTACTTAAGTCAGAATTAGAGGAATCCCTCCTTCACTGAGGACTAGACTGACTGCGAGTCAACGTTGTTAGAAACACCTTTTACCTTCCCTTATCATCAGTAGTAGTTAGCACTTTAGGAACCTGAAAGTCAATGCCACCGGCAGCCGCTTTGTCAATTTACATTCAAAGCACTCGCTACTTTTAGAAATCGCGCCACAAGTAGCATTCTTCTAAACTGTGTACTCAAGAGAATTTCCAAATGGAGTGTGGTTATCTAACAAGAGAGGGGCTCTGTGACAATCAACATTTAACAGCTTAATGGCTGTTACAATCCTCAAATGGCAGCACTTAGACACAGTGGTTGTTGTTTCTGATCAACCGCAGTGGGATTTTGTGATGACGTATAATATTAATCCGAACATAACTTTATTTTGAGGTACACCTCTGTTCGTTACAGCACGTGTACCATTCGCCCCAAAAGCTGCTCTGTAAGGCTAGTTACTTTTCGTTCAGTTTCTGGCCAGATGTGTTAGAGTTATGGCTCGAAATCCTGACGAACCTGCTGGTGGTAGGCACTGTCGTATCACTGAATTTCGCAAGCGACTTTTGGCGCTACGACTTGGAACTCGCCACCGATTTGATTGTAACACCCTTTGTGTGGACAGATTGCAAAACACAATCTCATTGGAACCACAGCTCAGTGTGAATCGAACGTTTGTACTGTCGTTCACTGAGCGATGAACCATTACTTATCGGGGGAAACATGGCTGTTTAGCAAGTCTCACAGGAAGGCTGAAGTAAGAATTGAAAGAGTAAGGGGTATATACGTCATCAAGATGAAAACGAAGCGATAAATGATGGTGTACTATTGATTGCCTAGTAGCCACTTTTGCCACCCGGGACGGTGGTAAAAATTTTCGTCCTGACTGGTAGCAGAATAGACCAGCGAAGGCCACAAAATCTGTTCAGGGTAAAGTACACATTAATTGTCGATGAAATGGCTAGTCGTTTGGGACACTGAGGTAAATGTGATGATTTTGGTTGCAAGGGGACAAATAAGAAGAAGACTTCGAAGAACCTTTGCGCAAGTGTGACACACGGCGCAGTGATACTGATAATAAAGAGTAACAAGAAAATATTCAACCCTTAGGGTAGCTGGAAATTTTCTCCTTTGTACTTGGAATCGAACAAGAAACGGTACTAAAATGCCGCAGTCTGTCACATGCGACCCCGGGCGGACCACCCCCTCGCCACACCTCTGTATACTAAGTCCAAGGAAACGAATGCTCCGAGTAGATGGATATATAGAGATGGCGGGAAACGTGATTTAGCTTCGCGTACTAGATAGCGTGGTGAATTAGTTTTATTCGACATTCCCTGAGAGCAAAATAAAGTAATCAACGTCTGTACTGCACTGTCGGCAGTGTTCCAGGACGTGGTGGGTTTTCGCCTGGCAAGCGTTCTCTCTATAAAAAGTCACAAATGTCTGCTTAACAACACTGTGACGTGGCGGTCGTGGCTCGCCACAAAATAAAGTCACTGCCCATTGGATATCTGGATAATCCTTTCCAACCCACGGACACCAATCCTCTACTTGCACATTGCTGACGATAGCAAACATTCAAGAATGGAGCAACACAGTTACAAGCGCAAATTACACGGCTACATAAACGCACACACAATGACATACTTACATTCCCCCTGCACAAACAAGCACTGTTATGGCAAACATATCGGATTTTTGCAAATTCTTGAGCACGCATTGTTTTGTCAAAATGATCATGCCTGTAAAGGTGTGCCTCACCTTGCCGAGAATAAAAGTTTTATTTTATTTTATTTATTTATTTGTAGTATATAATAGTAGTAAGTTTAACTCAGAAGTAGTCCGGAGTATCACGGTCCTTATACCAAAGTGCGGGGGACGATAACGATGTGCAATATAATTTTGGAAATGAAAATTTAGGATAAGAAGTAACAGGTTTATAGGAAATGT